AAATCCGTGCGGAGCACCAAAAGTTTATGTTTATGTTTTTGTTCTTCGATTTACAGTGGAGGCCAGTCCACAAGAAACCGTTCATGATAAACCCAACCCTGAGTCCCCAGGACGTCCATGGATCGCTCCGTGGGAACGTCACGCTCTCCGTGGCAAAAGCATCGAAACCCAAGAAACCCGGGGCACCCTGGAGGCAAATAGGGTGTTTCTTGGCATGGGTCCCCACTGTACGCGAGATGACATATCGACCTTACGCGGTGACGTGCGCGGGGCGCCAGCGCAGCACGCCACATTGGAAACGAAGACGCTCACGCGCGACCTCACGCGGGCAGCGAACCCAGCAATGTCGGCGCAGTCTATCTCCTTTTCTTCCGTCGCTCACACGGACAACGCCCGCGACGGCACCGAGCCCTGCTCAAAACAGGCAGGAACTGTTGTCAGTATTCGTCGCCCTTCTTTCCGAACCCATCTCGTTCGTGCGCATGGTCGACCCCCAAAGTCCGGACCCCTTCCTGGGACCAGTTTTCTCATCCTGAGGCGCTTTTTGACGGCCTCGGGGCCTGGCGAGGGCCCCCACTTGAGTCACCGCGGGGGCTGCTCAGTGGATTAGTGGGTGAAGAATGGATGCCACGGTGGCTGATAGATGGCCTAACCTAGCTTACAAGAGGACTACAAGTACCCTGTGTGGCTTGGGTGCAATCGATACATCCGCTAAATGGTCGGAGCCCACGTAGCCCAGATCTCTAGCCTCCCTATGCCACTTAGTTCATTTAGAAGCCAGGTTTCGCCATCCTTAAACCACCTTGACATCCACTTTTTACACCCGATCCACTTAGTAACCCCCACGGTCATCCCAGCAGAGGCCGAGAACGGCCCCAAATCGCCCGTCCCTAGATGCCCCTCGCTGTTGTCTTCGTCGTCCGCCGTCGACGTCGTCGTCGTCGTCGACGCCGCCGTTGTCGCCGCCGCCGCCGTCGTTGCCGCCCCCGCCGCCGTCGTCATCGTCGTCGTCGTACTTCGTCGTCGCCGCCGCCACCGTCGTTGCCGCCACCGCAATCGTCGTCGTCGTCGTCGTCGTCGAACGTCGTCGTCGTCGCCGCCGCCGCCGCCGCCGTCGTCGTCGTCGCCGCCGCCGCCGTCGCCGTCGACGAGCCGTCGTCGTCGTCGCCGAGCGAGCCACAGAGCGGGCGGGCGCGGCCGCCTACCTGGATGTCGCGCGCCGCCTCCGCGGCCTCGGCCAGCGCGGCGCGGTGCCCGTCCTCGCCGGCGCGCAGCTCGCGCGCGGAGAGAGGATCGAGCACTGATGGAGTATTGAGGATAGAGGAGGAGGAGGAGGAGGAGCAGGAGGAGGAGGAGGAGGACGAGGAGGATAGAGGAGGAGGAGGAGGAAGAGGAGGAGGAGGACGACAAGGAGAAGAACGAGGACAGAAGACCAAAAATCTGTGAACATCATGGACATTCGGGGGTCCGCGCGGATTTCTTGGATCTGCGGTGAACCCCCTTCCCTGGCGCTGGAGGAGCGTTGGGGGTGCCAGGGGCGCTGGAGGTGCGCTGGAGGTGCGCTGGAGGTGCCCTCCCTGGCGCGGAGCGCGCCAGGGGCGGCGCTGGAGGTGCCGCAGGGGGCCCAGCGCCGACCCGAGATGTCCAGCGCGCACCTCCGAAACTGCATGCTTCTGCAGCTCTCTCTTCGAGAGGAGGCGGGGCGGAAGCGCGAAGGGCCGAGCCGAAGCGCCGCCTGTACCCGGAGCCCTTCGAGTCGCGATAGAAATCGCGACGGGCGGCTTCGGGCGGCGTCCAGCCTCTCGGGGGCGCGGGGGCCCTCACCGGGCCCCCCAGGGACCGTCAAAGAGGAGTCAGGAGGAGAAGCCGCTCCCGGGGAAGGGGCAGGGAGGAGGAGGAGGAGGAGGAGGAGGAGAGGAGGAGGAGGCGGAAGGAGGAGGAGGAGTAGGAGGGAGGCGGAGGAGGCGGAGGAGGAGGAGAGGAAGGAGGCGGAGGATGGGATTAGGAGGAGGAGAGGAGGAGGAGGAGAGGAGGAGGACGAGTCGAATCGGAAAGTCGGATCGGCAGGCCAAGGACATCGCAGCGGCAGCAATATCGACGGGCAGATCGCGGAGGCCTCCTCCTCCTCCTCCTCCTCCTCCTCCTCCTCCTTCTCCTCCTTCTCCTCCTTACATATCCTCCTCCTCCTGCTCCTGCTCCTCCTCATCCTTCTCCTCCTGCTCATCCACCCCCCCTCCTCCAACGTATGGTACGCACAGAAACACATAGTATACCCATCTAGTAATATATCGTTTCCCGATCGGTGTGGCCAGAGAGCGCCCGTCACGAAGCATATACTATAAGATTCCTCGGTGCGCGCGTCGCTCCTGGGGGGGGGGGGGGGCCACGCACACATAATTAGTATTAGTATGTTGGCGTGACGCCGAATGTACGCAGCTCCCTTGCTTCGGATTGCACATGACACGATGGAGTGGCCCTTTGTGCAGTTCCAGGTCCGCTATGACAGTCGCTGGATAGAGAGGAAAAACAATACAATGGGAAGGGATGGATGGGAGGGGTAGGATATGAGATATGGCGCGAGCGCAAGTGACTTGACAACTGCATGTCATGAAAACGACTTCCCTTTCTCCCCAGACTCTATCCGGGAGATATTCGACACTCTCCGCGTTTTCTTTTCGCAACACAAAATGTCAAAAGGTGAGCTCTGCGATTGTGTTTTCATTATCATCCGATTGCTTTGGTGCTTCGACACGGGACAGAACGCGTTTCTAACGCTTGATCGGATACAATGCCTGGCCACGTCGGAACCGGAACATTTGCCTCTCTAACCTGGGGGGGTGCCCTCCAAGAGAGCGGGGGTTCGAACCGCCCCCCCACGCGAATAGATCCCAATCAGTGCTCGGTCAAGCTCGAACAGAAACCGACTGTTGCTGAATATAACTCTACTGGCATTCAGATCAGATCCGTCTATAGCCGGATCCAGATCTGATTGAAACCTACTAGGGTTCGATCCAGCTGTAGCAAAATCCTACGCTGGCTGGATTCAACTTTACTAGCATCCTACTCGGGGCCGATCCTGCTCTAATAAAATCCTACCTTTGCTGGATCCAGCTCCAATTGGATCCTACCAGGGCTCGGTCCATCTCAAATCCGCCACCGTGCCCCTGGGCACGGAGCGCGCGTGTCCTCAGGTCCTGAGCCTACTCCCATAAGCCTGAGTCCTCAATCCCGAGGAGTCTTTGCGAGCCTGGACCCCACATTGCCCAGTCTTCTTGGGATTGGCGCGCGCCCCCTGGGGTTCCCAGCATCTTCCCCGCTTCACGCTCTGGGGCCCACCAGGCCCCAAGACTTGCCGAAAGAGCCCCAAGAGACTCCCGAGATGGCCCCGAAGGGGTCCCGAGTCGCCGAAGGATCCGTCCAAGACGCCCAAGATGGCCCAAAGACGGCCAAAGAAGCCTTCGAGACACCCCACGACAGACCCAAGAGCCTCCCAAGAGGGCCCCGAGCGGCAAAAGTCATTGATATCCCAGATGTAGTTTCAATGTTTTTGGAGACACCCAAGATCCAAGACGTCCCAGGAAGCTGGAAGGCATCCCGATCCAAGACGTCCCAAGACGTCCCACGATCCACGACGTCCGCTGGAAGGCATCCCGATCCAAGACGTCCGCTGAAGGCATCCCGATCCAAGACGTCCCCAGACGTCCCAAGACGTTCAAGACGTCCCAAGAGGCTGGAAGGCATCCCTTCCAAGTTCCCACGATCCAAGACGTCCCAAGAGGCCGGAAGGCATCCCCGAGGCAGCAGACCTCCGAGCGCCGAGGAGGTCGCCCGAGACCGGCGAGCCCGAACTGACGACCCCCTCTCCGCCCAACAACCCCTCGTCGTCGTCGTCGGCGTCGTCGCCATCGTCGTCGTCGTTCGTCGTTCGTCGTCGTCGGTCGTCATCGCCCTTGTCGCCATCCGTCCTCGTCGTCGTTCGCCGTCCTCCGTCCGTCGTCGTCGCTGCCGCCGCCGCGATCGTCGTCCTCGTCGTCGTCATCGGCTGCGGCGTCCTGGGGCGGGAGGAGAGCGGTGAGGGGAGGAGGGCCGCGGAGGAAGAAAGGGAGGGGGAAAGCGCTGAGGAGGCAGGGGGGGAAGTGGGAAGAGGCGGTCGTCCGACGTCATCGTCGTCGTCGTCCGTCGTCCGTCGTCCGTCTGTCGGCGTCGTCGTCGTCAGTCGTCGTCGCCGCCGCCGTCCGTCGTTCTGGGGAAACCATACGATACCGATACCGCTTCTCCCCAGACCTCTCCCAGGTTGCAATCTGACAAGAATCTCGAGGCGAATCTAGCCGTGGCGACGAGGGCCTCCCAGGGGGTCAAGAAAGGCGAACACGTTACAAGGGTAGCGGTATCGGTACCTCGTCCCTGTTTCCCCTCGGACGTTTGTCGCTCGTCGTCCTTGTCCTCGCCGTCGCCGTCGCCGGCGGCAGCGGCGCGCCGGGACTGACTTCTCACCCTGCGCCGCTGTTCGACGAGCCCGGGGCCCGGGGCGGGCCCCAAGAGGCGGAAGATGAGCAAAAAAAGCATTCCGCCGTGATTGTTTCGCATCGGGAGGACGGCAAGGTTCGTCGTAGCCGTCGTCATTCGCCGTCCTCGTGCTCGTCGTCGTCGTTCGCCGTCCTCGTGCTTGTCGTCGTCGTTCGTCGTCCTCGCTCGTCGTTCGTCGTTCGTCGTCCTCGTGCTCGACCTCCTTCGTCGTCGTCCACGTGCTCGTCGCCGTCCTCGTGCTCGTGTTCGTTCGTCCTCGTTCGTCGTCCTCGTTCGTCGTCCTCGCGTTCGTCCTCGCGTTCGCCCTCGTTCGTCGTCCTCGTCCTCGTCATCATCCTCGTCGGCGGCGACGGCGGCGGCCCCCCGCCTGCCACGCCACAGCCGCCACGGCGCTCAGCGACGCCTCGCGCACGAGCAGCCGCGCCCGCAGCGCCGCATGCCGCCGCCGCTCCGCCTCGCCGCACTCGCGGAGCCTTTCGCGCAGGATCATGCTCCTCATCTTCTTTCTCCTCCTTCTCCTCCTCCTCCTCCTCCTGCTCCGCCTCCTCGTCATCATCATCATCATCATCATCATCATCATCATCATCATCATCATCATCGTCATCATCATCATCGTCATCATCATCGTCATCATCGTCATCATCATCATCACCATCATCATCATCATCATCATCATCATCATCATCATCATCATCATCATCATCATCATCATCATCTCATCATCATCAGCAGCATCATCATCAGCATAAGAATTATCATCAGCATCATCATCTGCATCATAATCCTCCTCCTCCTCCTCATCATCACCATGATGATCATCATCATCATCAGCATCATCATCATCGGTATCATCGGTATCATCTTCATCATCATCGTCATCAGCAGCATGAGCATCATCATCAGCAGCATGAGCATCAGCATCAACGTCATCGTCATCATCATCATCACCCACCGTCATCATGAGCGTCATCGTCATCATCATCATCATCATCATCATCATCATCATCATCAGCGTCATCATCATCATCATCACCATCACCATCATGAACAACAGCAACATAAGGATCACCATCAGCATCATCCTCATCAGCATCAGCATCATCATCACCAGCCATCATCATCAGAAATCATCGTCATAATCATCATCAGCATCATCATCGTAATCACGTCAGCATCATCGTCACCATCAGCATCATCACCACCATCAGGATCAGCATCAGCATCAGCATCAGCATCATCATCATCCTTATCGTCATCATCATCCTCATCAACACCACCATCATCATCACCAACACAACCACCACCATGATCATCATCATCATCATCATCACCACCATCATCACCATCACCATCACCATCATCACCAGCATCAGCATCAGCAGCATCATCATCATCATCATCATCATCATCATCATCATCATCATCAGCATCATCATCCTCGTCATCATCATCCTCGTCGTCATCATCCTCATCGTCGTCATAAGCATCGTCGACGTCATCTTCATCGTCGTCGGTATCATCATCATCAGCAGCAGCATCATCACAAACACAATCACCATCAACCTCACAACCACCATCATGATCATCATCACCACCACCACCCGCATCATCATCGCCATCGCCATCACCATCAGCATCAGCATCAGCAGCATCATCATCATCATCCTCCTCCTCATCATCATCATCATCACCATCCTCGACGTCGTCATCATCATCGTCGTCATAAGCCTTGTCGTCATCGTCATCGTCGTCATTATCATCATTACCACGATCATCATCAGCAGCATCATCATCATCGCCAACACCATCAAAATCATCCTCACAGCCACCACCATGATCATCATCATCATCATCATCATCAACACCACCACCATCATCGTCACCATCACCATCATCATCAGCATCAGCAGCAGCATCATCAGCCTCATCATCCTCAACATTGGCATCGTCATCGTCATCGTCATCGTCATCGTCAGCAGCAGTAGCATCATCAGCATCGTCGTCGTCATCAGCAGCATCATCCAACTCCTTCTCCTCCTCCTCCTCATCATCATCGTCGTCATCGTCATAATCATCATCATCATCATCATCATCATCATCATCGTCATCGTCATCATCATCAGCAGCAGCATCAGCATCATCATCAGCATCGTCTGCATCATCATCATCATCATCATCATCAGCAGCAGCATCAGTGTTATCATTGCCAGTATCGGCGCCATCACCATCATCATGCCCAGCAGCATCATCATCATCCACAGCAGCGCATCGAGAGACACATATCATCATCAACATGATCATAATCAACATCGTCAGTCTCATCATCAGTAGCGACATCATCAGTGTTATCAGCATCGTCGGCATCAGCATCCTCATCCCCATCCTCTTCATCACCAAAATCATCATCATCAGCAACATAATCAAAATCATCAGAGTCGTCAACATCGTTATCAGCATCATGAACATCATCATCATCATCATCATCAGCATCGGTATCATCAAAATCATCATCAGCATCATCATCACCGTCATCATCATCAGCATCATCATAATCATCATCGCCATCGTCATCATCGTCATCAGCATCAGCATCATCATCATAATCGTCATCGTCATCGTCATCATCATCATCATCCTCATCATCGTCGTCGTCATCATAATCAACATCATCATCGTCGTCGGTGCCGTCGTCGTCGTCATCGTCGTAGACGTCCGTCGTCGTCGTCATCGTCGACATCGACGTTGTCATCATTATCGTACCCAAAATCATCCACAGCATCATCGCCAGCATGATCGTCATCGCCATCAGCAGCATCATCATCCTCGTCGTCATCATCATCAGTATCCTCATCACCATAATCGTCATCACTGCCAGCACCATCAGCATCAGCAGCAGCATTGTCTGCGTCGACAGCGTCATGCTCATCATCATCATCATCATCATCGTCATCATCATCATCATCATCATCAGCATCATCATCGTCATTATCATCGTCAGCTTCAACATCATCAGCATCATCATCATCAGCATCATCGGCGTCGCCATCATCATCATCATCACCATCATCAGAATTATCATTATCAGCAGCATCAGCATCAGCATCAGCATCAGCATCATCAGCAGCATCCTCTCATTATCATCGTCATCATCATGAGCATCATCATCATAATCATCATCGTCGTAATCATCATCATCATCCTTCATGCCCCCGAGGAGCAGCTGCAGAAGCTACATAAGCCTCATCCCCAGCAAACTGGCGCGGGTACGGTGCCGCCAACTAGCAGAGAGCTGGAAAAGCATATCCGAACCTCGTTCCTCGATCATCCCCCGTTCCCCTCCTCATTCTCCTCTTCCTCTTCGTTCTCCTCCTCGCTCTCGAACCTCGACCCTCGACACCCACATCCTCACCCCGGCTCCTCCTCAAACCTCGATTCTTGATCCTCCTCCGCTACTCATCACCATTCCTCCTTATCCTCCGCCTCCTTCTCCTCCTCCTCCTCGTCCTCTTCCTCCTTCCTCATCCTTATCCTCATCCTCTTCCTCCTCCTCCTCGAGAACGGGGCATTGTGGAGCCCCTCGGGGTTCCAGGGCACACTGAATTCGCGCGTGCGTCTTTCAGTGGTGTGCGTACTCTGTGGCGTCCTTCTCTCCTTCCGCCTCCCCCTCCTCCGCCTCCTCCTCCTCCTTTTTTGTTCGCTTTCCCCCCTCCCCCCTCCCCCCCCAAAAAAGACCTGATGTTTTGTTTTTGGTTGTTTTGGGGGGTCGGCGGCGAAAAAAAGGAATGCGACGTGGCCTCATCTGCCCTCCCCCCTGGAAGGATTCCTATTGAACGCCCCCACAAGAAGGATTCATAGTGAAATCCTCTACAGAAGGACTCCTATCGAAACCCTCCACTGAATGATTCCTACTGGAATCCTCCACATATGGATTCCTATTGAAATCACCCGCAGAAGGATTCATATTGAGATGCTTCGAAAGAAAGAGCCCGCCGTTGGCTTTGCATTGGCATTGGTGTGGCAATGGTTTGGTATCGCATTGGCATTGCATTGGCATTGCGCTTGGCAGTGCGTTGCTAGTGTGCTTACATGTCGGAAGCATTGCGCTGGCGAGTCCTAATGGAACCCTCCACAGAAGGACTCCGATCGAAACCTTCTACAAGAAAAACTCTGGTTGAAACCCTCCGCAGAAACGGTTCATGTCGACACCCTCCACAAGAAGGATTTCGTGTGAAGCCCTCCACGAAAGGATCCCTATTGAAATCTACCACAGAGGATTTCCCCCATTGGCAGTGCATTGGCATTGGATTGGGTTCGCTGTGGCATTGGTGTGGCATTGCGTTGGCACTGCGTTGGCATTGCGCTGGCAATGCGCTGGCGAGTTCAAACACCGTCCTTCGCAGAGTGATTCCTGTTGAACCCCCCACAAGAAGGATTGCGATTGAACCATCCCACAAGAAGTTCTCACATTGAACTCCCTCACGGAAAGATTCCATTCGAAGCCCTCCATGAAAGGATTCTCCTTGAACCCGACCACAGACGATTTCCCCCATTGACATTGCATAAGCATTGAAGTGGGATCGTTTTGGAATTGGTTTGGCATTGCGTTGGTGTTGCGCTGGCATTGAGCTGGCGAGTTCTAATGGCTCCCCCCACAGAAAGATTCCTATGAAAATCTTGCACAAGAAGGGGCCCGTTTGAAAGCCCCAACATGAAGGATTCAAAATGAAACCCCCCACAGAAAGATCCCAATCGAAACCCTCCACGGGAGGATTCCTATCGAAATCCTCCGAAAAACGATTCGCAACCAAATCATCCACCTAAGAATTCCTAGTGAAATCTGTTGGAAGACAGGAATCCCGCCATCGGCATTGCATTGGCATTGGTTTGGCAACGGTTTGGCATCGCATTGGCATTGCGATGGCAGTGCGTTGGCACTGCGCTGGCATTGCGCTGGCATTGCGCTGGCGAACTCCAACACCTCCCTTCGCAGAATGATTCCTGTTGAACCCCCACAAGAAGGATTGCGATTGAACCATCCCACAAAGGTTCACATTGAACTCCCTCACGGAAAGATTCCATTCGAAGCCCTCCATAGAAGGATTCTTCTTGAACCCGACCACAAACGATTGCCCCAATTGGCATTGCATAAGCATTGAAGTGGGATCGCTTTCGCATTGGTTTGGCATTGCGTTGGTATTGCGCTGGCATTGAGCTGGCGAGTTCTAGTGGCTCCCCCCACAAAAGGATTCCTATGAAAAACCTTGCACCAGAAGGCATCCTTTTGAAAGCCCCCACATGAAGGATTCAAAGTGAAACCCCCCACAGAAAGATCCCAATCGAAAACCTCCACGGGAGGATTCCTATCGAAATCCTCCGAAAAATGATTCGCAACCAAATCATCCACATAAGGATTCCTAGTGAAATCTGTTGAAGGCAGAAATCCCGCCATCGGCATTGCATTGGCATTGGTTTG